GAAACAAATGCCACGGAAAGCATGTTTATGGAGAAGGGCAGGGGAAACTATTCCCCAAAACATATTCATGGATTATTTGATAAAGTCAGGCTAGAAGAACAAAGAAAAGTAGTCAATAAATGTCATGCTCTAAAACTGAATTTTTACAGATAGTTTTCAGCATGATTTTTCTATGTTTCACTTTTTACCGTCAGCTGTGAGCTGTTTCCAAGGGTGAAATTGCCTAAGAGAGGAAGCAAAGCTGTCATTTGACATCTGGGAGCATGGAGATCGGGCTGTAGTGAAAAGCCTTTTGGACTTCTTCAATTTACACATATATGCACCTATAAATCCTCAAGTCTGAAAAGTATTCAATGACAAATATCAATGTAAATTTCAAGCATTTCAAATTAAAGCATCTGGGAGCATGGAGATCGGGCTGCAGTGAAAAGCATTTTGGACTTCTTCAATTTACACATATATGCACCTATAAATCCTCAAGTCTGAAAAGTATTCAATGACAAATATCAATGTAAATTTCAAGCATTTCAAATTAAAGACTCAAAATGGGGCAGAAAATAAAAGTGAAGGACACATACTGATAGGATACCATATCAACTTGTTCAAAACTAGAATGAGAAACTTAAGTGACTATATTAGGTTAACTAACACAAATAATTTTATGCACTTGTCTCAGATCGTATATTAAGCTTTCAAATATCATTTTCTTATATTTTTGCTTAAGAGACAAGGTCTTGCTATATTGCCCAGGCTGGAGTGCAGTAGCTATTCACAGGCATGATCATAGCACACTGCAGTCTCATATTCACAGCCTCAAGCAATCCTCCCACCTCAGAATCAGTTTTCCTTTTTGTATTTTATATGCTTAGTAGTACAGGTTCTATTTTCTAGCCGTTTTTGAATGATAAGAGTCAAGAAAAAAAAGTGGTAAAAAAATACTTTCTTGACATTTTATTTTTCCTTTATACTTAAAACACTATAACCAAAGGTTTATTCTTTATCGTAAGTTAATAAATCAAATGATAAAGCACATAAAATCTTTTGGCTAAAACTTTTGTGTTTATGTGTGTAAAAACAGATATAAAATCAGAGTAACCAAAAGAAAGTCCTCCAGAGAAAAATAACCAATTTACTTCAGTTTTCATTCTCTAATCTCTCACAACAAAAAAATAGAAGAACCTGTGTAAAAGTATCCTAATAAAGTATCTAAAAGTCTCCTAATGTGGAAACCAGACAGTGTTATATTTACATTGTCATACTATACAATCTGTTCCTACTTTGTGGACTATTTCTTTTGCCTTTTCTCTTCCTGAACTCCATTCTGTGTTTCTGTGGTATGAAAGGAACCCATTTACCATGAATGATGTTTATTTAAAATAAAACCTTTCTAGAGAATCATCCTAGATAATCTAAGGATACAAAGTGAACCTAAAAGGAATGGCTTCTACTTTGAAAACAGGGCTGGGTTTGATCAGTGAATTCGTATTCTCAAGACCCTCTTGATGGGTCTGCAGCTGCAGCCATTTATGCGCTGGCTTTTTCACAGATGTAGACAGAGAAAGCTCCGTGGTTTTTGTCTTTTTGTTGTTGGATTTGTTTTCTTTAATATAAAAAAGTGGTAACTTTTTAAAAAGTTCTCAGTTTTGTTATAGACACTTGTGAATCTTGGGCATCCTTGGGAGTATACATTGTTGAAATAATTACGACTTTTTAAAATCCAGGATCACAAAGTTGGCAGAAACTATACTTAAATAACAGAAGGTGATCATTTGCATTTCAAAATTTATCTGTCTTGCTTTTCCCCTCAATTAGACCAAAACATGTTGATTCACAGGTTTCTGTGTGTGTGTTTTTTCTTTTTTAAACTTATTTATAGAGCAGAATAATGGCCCCCCTGCTAGTTTGGCATTTGCTCAAGTTTCTGTCCATGCAAATCGAATCTGTTACTGGAAATTTTTCTCAAAATATAAAGGCACATCATCCACAAGATAAAAAGATATACTGCTGATATTATAAAGTACAGGGCAGGTGGATAATGTTTTCAGGACAAATATGTGATAAGGATTCCCAGGAGGTGAAGTGGCAGGGTAGAGGGTGCACACTGTTTAAACAGAAGTGAGTCGCTCTCATCGTAATCTTGTGACAACTTTTCTTTCTAACCAAACATCAGCTGCTTAACATGCTTTAGAGTTACTTGGACAATAATATTAAGGTTAGACCTGGGAAGTAAGAGGGAGGGGATCAAATGAGAGGAAATTACTTCAACTCTTGGTGTTCCTAAGGGTAGATCAAAAGGTGGTTAAACAATCTATGTCCCATGTAGTTACTGATTTGTATTTTTAAGCATTGAAATATTAACATATTAGCATTGCTTCCATCCTTCGAGGAAAGGAAAACCTATTTGTAGTTTTGATTTATCAGTAGCACTGCTATGAACTTTTGGGGCAAACAGTAATTCACAAATTTTTGCTCTAATTCCCCTTGAGTTGTAAGTGAGGGGTGCGAGCACATAGACTTAACCGAGTTCTATAACTCTCTAGATTTAAGGTCATCTTAATTAGAACACTGGTGTTACTTTTCTGTTAAGGCCATTACTTGTTTTGTTTTACCTAGTTGCTAAAATTAACAGGCCCAATGAATGGAAAGCCTTTCCACATTGTTCACAAAGCATGCCATAACACTAGAACACTTTTGCAACTCACAAAGCTTGGACGCACAATTCTTTTATGCAAATAATGACAACAAAGCACCTCTTCAGACTACAGCTTTTTTCAAATGCTAGTGAAGGACAACCTGGAAAAGGACAGCAAAATCCATTAATGGTAGACTGCCACCTGCTGGTCAACTAAGAGAATTGTAATTTCTGGGACAAGGCTTAAAAATTAGAACTTAGAAACTGATCTGTATTAAATTTGGTTTATTCCAGTATATGAAATTGAAAGTGTATATCTGTTGATGAATGTAATATGGTTCTGTTCTACACATATTAAAACTCTCAGGATACCAACATGTTATGGACATTAAAGTAAATCTGACTGTGCTTGAGAATAAAGAAAAATAATCTGCTATAATGCTCAAGCACAAATTTACAGATAGTTTCCAATAAGTAACAATATATACACTTACTAGGAACCACGGAAAAAAAAGGAAAGTAATAACAAAAATAAGAAATAAGGGCTACTTACAAATATTAAACAATATTCCATAAATGTTTGGTTTTGTTATATAGTTACCATCAGACTTCACTTTAGGATGTAACAGGCTTGATTCAAAAAAACTCCAAAATTAAGTTTGATCCTAAAACTTTCAAATTCATTATAATTAACAAATATATTTCTAAGTACATTGGAACCTAAAATGTTATTTCTTATCAAATTAGAAAGTGGGGAGGATCTGGTTTTTTCTTAATCAAGTAACTGTAATAAAGTGAATTCAACATGGAATTTTTTATCCTATTAACTAATATGATTTCAAAATATAACATCACATTATCTATCTGAGAAAAAAAATGTAGGTGTGCTCTATTGTGTCTAAGAATAAATAAAAACCAAACAGTCTTAATTTGAAGGAAGAAGGAGGAAAGAAAACAAAACCCTAACAGTTGCTTTCAGGAACGTTTTGGGATATTTTTCTATAGGCTGGAAAACTTTGGTATTCTCTACTGCGGAAATAATTCTTAACAATGAAAGTTGTAACTAGAAACAATCTAGCTCTTCTAATCCTTATTATCGTCACTTCCCATTATGCAGAGAAACAAGGTTAGCATCAGTACATTAGTTAGCTGGTAAGTATTAAATACTGTATTGATCAACACCTAAGCAGATTATGTCAAAAAAATCAGCTTGAAACTCCTTTGAAGGCCAATGGGGTGACAGGTGAAGTGACTCTGGCCATCCAAAGAGGCTAAACGGTAAGCAAAAGGTGAACAAACTTTGGATTCATAACACAGCCCCATCTGCACTGATGACTAAGAAAAACCAACTCAAATGCAATTCATATGCTTACGCTACCTATAATTGTCAGTAAAAGATCTAATAAATAAATTTTGCTTTATTTATTAGAATAAATCTAAATTTTTAGAATAAATTATTAGAATTATTATTAAATAAATCTCTAATTTAAAAAAAATAAAGACAATACAGTAAGGGCAAGATAAAACTGTTGTGTCTACAAAAATCTCTTATAAAATGCCAGGTTGGCACATCACTAAAATCATATTGCATTTTTAAAACCTCCATTTTGCCAGGTACCATGGCTCATGCCTGTAATCCCAGCTATTCCAGAGGCTGAGACAGGAGAATTGCTTGAGGCCAGGAGTTCAGGACCAGTCTGAGCAACACAGCAAGGCCCTGTTTCTACAAAATAAATAAATAAATAAATTAGCCAGGAGTAGTGGCATGCACCTGTAATCCCAGCACCTTGAGCCCAGGAGTTCTAGACCAGCCTGGGCAACACAGAAAGACCTCATGTCTACAAGAAATGCTTTAAAAAAAATTAGCCAGGCACGGTGGTGCACACCTGTAGTCCCAGCTACTCGGAAGCTGAGGCAACAGGACTGCTTGAGCCCAGGAGTTGGAGGCTGCAGCGAGCCATAACAGCACCACTGCATTCCAGCCTGTATGACAGAGTGAGATACATCTCAAAAAAAAAAAAAAAAAAAGAAAGAAAGAAAAAAATCACGAATCTAAAGAGGCTCAGGGTATTTAAAGATCCCTGTAAACACTAAGAAGCTAAGACATTTCTAAGAATTCACTGCAGTTCTTAGTGAGATATAAACTCATTTAACAATAATAAATATATGGACACACATACACATATATACCTATGAATTACTTAATTGGTTCAGCCCCAAATTTTCTTTTTTTGAAGGGTTAAACAGATAACCCAATCTAACACATATGTAAACTGCTAGTGAAAGATACAAAAATACAACTTCTATAAAGAAATGAGAGCTGCCGAATCACTTTTTCAAGTGAAACATTTTAGGAGATTGCTCTAACCTGGGGCACAGTACATTCTCTCTATGGCATCGCTGTCACAGGAATCTTCAACCTCACTCCACCTGCTAAAATACGTTAGCTGAATGTGTCCTAAAAACAAAACGACAGGAGAAATCAAAACATTTTTCTCTTCCATTTTCTGCAGAAGTGAACTGTAATTACTCCTTTTGTAGCTAAAAACAGTATCATTAAGAATAATGGCATCATTAAGTACTAGAAGCTATTACTGGGGGTGAATTTGCTGCACTGATAATGAAGCTCTAGACAGGAAATGAAGATACTAATTACAAGATAAAACGCCTACTCAGTTAATTGGAAGCAACAGCGAATAAAAAGAAATGCATTTGCAAAAGTTCCTGACCTCTATCATTCAATAAGATGTTGTTTGGGTTCAAATCGCGGCACACAATTCCCTCTCTATGTAAAGCATCAAGGGCTACCACCATTTCAGCTGCCCATCTTTGAATGCAGCCCTCTGGGATGTAAAACCTGGAGGTTAGTGCTAATTTTTTATCAAGGTCCTCAAAAATCTGATGGATTTCCTTGTCTCCTTCTAGCGCTAAACCACTTTCTCCCTTAGTCTCAGAGTCTCTCTGGAATAAAGAAGTTGGTTCCTCTTTAGCCAAATCATCAGTCTGATCTGTAAACAGCAATACTTCTTCTGTTTTTAAAGTGTCTGTGCTTGCAATATATTCATTAGCACCTGAGAGTGGACTACAAATATGGAATAAGCTTTCTTCTGTGTTGTTTGCAGTTACTGCTGACTCAACCACTCCAAGTCCTTGAAACCTAGGATCTGAGCTGGGTAACAAAGACATATCTCCTGAACTACTAGGATCAACAGCTGCTACAAATAACATCCTGGGATCGTCCTGAGCATAGTGTTTCTCTGTTATCCTACGAGATTTGGGCCCAGAGGGATCACTCAGTTCCTCCATGCCTTTCTCCTCATGTGCTTGGCATTGCTCAGTACTAAGTCTGAGGCATAAAACATCAGGGGCTTCCAAGAGTTTGTTTTCTATTATCCCTATATTGGTTTGTGTAAACTTAGTAGGTCCCATTGCTGCAGCTTCTCTTGTTGGCTCCAATTCACCAGGTAAATTGACAAGAAGATCAGGTCTTCCTTCATCAGTACCACTGACATCATCAAAAGCAGCATCTTTAAATGAAATAACTGGCACTGAGTCATCTGAGCCCCTGCTAATGGTGTCCTGAGCTTTAAACTCTATCTTGCTTTCACTAGTATTAAAACTCCTAGAAGCACTGTCTCCATCTGGAAGAGTAAAGAATGGTTTCAAAGGTTCTGATTTTAGACTATACAATTTTTCTCCAAAGTCAAGTCCCAGGAGTTCACTTGCGCTATCCTTACTGTCTATCCTAAAGAATTCCATGGGGCTGTTTTTTGATCTACTGAGGGAATCTGATGTTCTTGGAGAACTAACTGCTTCTGGGTCATCGTTGGGGAAGAACTTCAGCTCGTGAGCTCTCAGCTGTGTGCTGGGGCTGTCGCTGTCAGCGGCAAGGTGTGTTGGGAAGCTTTGAATAGCTTTAGTATCAACACCATTCCCTTCAGTCTTCATGAAGGGCTCCTCATTCAAAGACCCTGGTTCAATCTTTTCTTGCCCATATTCATTGCATAATGTTAAATAACTAGTAGTACATTCTTCTTCTGAACTCGAACCAGAATCTGGCCACTTTGGAGAGCTATCTTGGCCATCATCTTCCTGGTTGCTGTCATCTTGAGAACTTGGAGTAAGACTACTCTTCAAAGGCAGAGCTCTAAGCACGCTTCCACCATCACTTCCTCTGGATTCAAAGCTACTGCTGTCCTGAGGACTAGAAGTTGGCTGCTGCAGGTGAACTTTGGCAAGTGTAGATTTTTTCACTTCCTTGATATCAAAGCTTTCTTCAGGACTTCTGTTTAGAAATTTACTGATATATGACCACAGTTTGCCACCTGTGAACAAGTATAACAAAACAAACAAAAGTATTAACATCTCCAAATTAACAGTTATTTATTTAAGCCATTAGAAAAGCAAAAGCTATCTTAAAAAATCAATCAGAACAAGTCAATAATACTCATTAATATCAAGTGTGCCATAAGATAAGCATATTTAATAAAATGCTTGTTATTGCTGAATGGTGAGTATGGTTTCAAGCATATCTCCTGATATCAATTTTTTTAAGTGATAACCTATTTCTTCCTTTGAAGGGAAATCAGTTATAACACACACTAATATGAAATTTCACAGCTAACATTCTACTCTAAAGTTAAATATCATTTAGTCTTAGAAGCATCTGTTTATGTTCTGCTCTGTTTATATAATAATTTTTTCAAGCATGGCCCCTTGGTCAGAAGGAAATATATAAATAAGTGCTGTTTAAATTGTATACTACAATGGGGGGAAAAAATCAACAATATTATTATTCCATTTTGAAAATGTCCGGTCCAGGAATGAAGGAATTTGGCATGTGGCATATAATTATGCCTTTATAAATAACATATTAATAATATATTTCCCCTTTTATGCCCTGCCACATATGTAATATGTTGTATAAGTAAAGCTACTGAGGAAGATTAATTGGGCAACCATTAATGAAGCAAGTTATGGAAATTCTGACTGTGTATTCTGACATATATCTTTAAAACTAAAATCATAAAAATCACTTTCATGTAAATCAGAGAAATAAAAAAAAAATCCAGTATTTTACCAGCAATACCTGTAGTTATTATTTCACCATAGTTTCATCTTATTTTAACCATTAAAACACCTCAATCCCTTTTGTCAATTATAATGTTTATGTTAAACAATTATAGCTAAGTATCAAAAACCTGCTATAACAGTAGTGACTAGGAACAGTACTATAAGAAAGAATAATTAATTAAATTTGATCCAGAAATCTCAAAAGCAGTAACTGCAGAAGTATACTTTGTGGAGACAGAATTGCAGTTGCAAAGAAATGAAAAATTAAGAATGATGTGTTCAATGATAGGCTGGATTAAGCAAATGTGGCACATATACACCATGGAATATTATGCAACCATAAAAAGGGATGAGTTCATGTCCTTTGTAGGGACATGGATGAAGCTGGAAACCATCATTCTGAGCAAACTATTGCAAGGAAAGAAAACCAAACACTGCATGTTCTCACTCACAGGTGGGAACTGAACAATGAGAACACTTGGCCAAAGGGTAGGGAACATCACACACTGGGGCCTGTTGTGGGGTACGGGGAGAGGGGAAGGATAGCATTAGGAGATATACCTAATGTAAATGATCAGTTAATGTGTGCAGCAGGCCAACATGGCACATGTATACATATGTAACAAACCTGCATGTTGTACACATGTACCCTAGAACTTAAAGTATAATAAAAATAAATAAATAAATAAAAATTAAAAAGAACGATGTGTTAAAAATAAATCCCTCTATTCATATAAAGAAGACAATTTTTCAGCACATATTTAGTGTAATCATTAAGCATCATATGCCAAGGGTACCTAAACCAGAAAATAATAATTGACAGTCAATTGCACGTGTAAAAAAGTCAATGGAAACATCAAAAATACCTCTTCCTACTTCACACTTCATTTCAAGAAATTCAATTAATACATATAGCACCTGACATGGTACCTAGCATAGAATAAATGCTCAATAAAGGCTAATGGTCATAATATTAATCATAGAATTCTCATACACCTCTTTGTAGCAGTGATCTAGTTAACCATCTTCCCTATTCTATTTATTTAACTTTTTTTTTTTTTTTTTAAAGACAGAGTCTCACTCTGTAGCCCAGGCTGGAGTGCAGTGGCGGGATCTCAGCTCACTGAAGCCTCCAACTCCTAGGTTCAAGTTATCCTCCTGCTCAGTCACCCAATTAGCTGGGATTACAGGCATGCACCACCACGGTCAGCTAATTTTTGTGTCATCTTCCCCACTTTGATAACAGTTAGTGGTACAGGACATTATGGCATTTAACTTTTTCCTCTCATTTTTTTCTTAGCTAATGCTTTCTGTCCTCTTTAGAGTATATTCAGTGTTTCACATTTCCCCATATTTCAACTGAAGTTTAAAAGGAGCTATGCATTGAGTCTATATTCTTTAGTCTGTTGACAACAATACTCACATTGTCTTGCCACAAATACCTACATTGTGTCAGTCTAACAATGCTTGAACCTAAACCTAAGATTCCTGTGTGCAATCCAAATAAAATGACTTGGGTGGTTTTCAATTCTCCTAGATGATGACTACTTTGAGGAAAGGATCAAGTCTTTTTCATCTTTGTATGTCTACTGCCTACACAATGTGCACGACATAGAAGTCACTGCTTGTCAAATCAGATGATGAGATGTACCGTATAAGCAGTACCTGCATCTGTAAAGTTCCACTGATCAGCAAGGAACAGTACCTTTTAATAAAGTTGTAAGAAAAGCTCCATTCATTCTTAGGCCAATTCCACCTGAATAAACTACTGAAATCTAAAATTCAATGTACTTAAAGTCTTCATTTTTGGGGATAATGCTATAACTACAACTAGATCCTTACTTTAAGTCCCTCCTGTAGCATTCTACCCTACTAACTGCTGCCTAATTAATCTTCTATTTCAGCACAGATCTTATGCCATTTCTGCATTCAAGAAGTCAAATTCCCTCCACCTACTGAATCATGTACCAACTCTGCACAGGCATTTGAACTCCTGAGTAATACAGTTATCAACCCATGATTTGGTCCTCTCCCCCTACTCAACACAGAATTCATGATGGGCTTTTCCTCATACCACGCTTACACTTGGAATGTTTTTTTTCCTAATAGTTTCCCCAGTATCTGCTTGTGAAAATCTTACCTATTCTTGAAGGTCCTTCAGAATCTGTTTTCTTTTACCAATTTCTTTGTATCCCTTAACTGGACGCAATATATATCTTCTCTGAATCCTCTATCATTCACCTTCATACCCTTTATGACATTTACAACATCATATTAATATTACTTTTATGCTTTTATTATCTCCTTTACGAGACTGAAAAGTCTTAATAGCTGCAGGCAGAGGATTCTATCTAGCTTGTAAAACAGGTATTAAATAAATATTTATTAAACTGAGTTATAGAAAGATAATATCTTTACAATTTTTTTGAAAACCTTTCAAGGAAAAGAATCTATAAGTAAGAATCTATAAGGATCTATAAGTATAACATCATTTTGGGGGTCATATGTTCTTCCAAAGACATACATTAACCTTAAAAAACAACCTGTTATTACTAAAGTGCCTAAAATTTGTCTAATTTTAGGACTATAAATGATACTTTTCTAAGTCTTTTTGAAGGACATAAAATTGTAGATATTGAACCATTTTAAGATATAAAACTAAAAATTCATAATGTTTAATTAAAATTCTTTGTCTCTCCTCAGATTTTAAATCCATTGGTTTTCTATAAGATTGCAAAGTTTGTTTGTTAATTTGCTTGGTCAGAATTAGTACTTAAATTTCATATGTATGACAACACACTGCTATCACAGCAATCAAAATCATCTTTTGGCCAAGCAATTCAACGTGGAAAAAAATCTGTCCTACATATAATTCTCAAAAAATACAACAAACAAAAACATGCATGTATAAATACATGTATTTATATTGAGTACTGGAAACAATGTAAACATCAATAACAGCCATTTGCAAATACATAGTGCTTACCATGTACCAGATACTATTCTAAGCCTTTTACATATACAACTATTTAATCCTCACATCAACCCTATAAGGTAGGTAATTAATATTATCTCTATTTTACAAATGAGGAAACTGAGGCACAGAAAGGTTAAATAACTTGCCCAAGGTCACACTAGTAATGGTGAGCCAGCATTTATATTCACACAGCATGGCTCCATAGTGCTTATTTTTAATCCCTATACTGTACTGCCTCTCTTAATACATACCTAAACATACTGATATATTAAAGGCGTCCAAGGTACACTGTTAAGATGGGGGAAAAATGCAAGCTCAAGGCAATATGTAACACCCATTTAAGTTTTTTAAAAACAGACAGGTAGGGAGAGAATGCTTATAAACATAGAAAGTTATTGGAAGATATATGATAACCGTTAAAAGAGTGCCTATTTCTGGGGAATAGGTCTAGGCAACAAAGTGAATAGGGAGGGATAATTTTTATTTTTACTTTATAAACTTCTATTTTGTTTGAATTTATTTTATAAATTAGTTTTATAATTTTAGAAAACTAATTAATAAAAGGAGAATCATTTTACTCCTTGGGGCCTTAAGTAACTTGGAGAGAAATTCTTTTCTACCTCCTTTCTATTTTGTATATCCACAGTCAGAGACTTTTGCAACTTCTGTCTTTTAATTTGGTCTTTCATCTTTTCTCTGACTGACCCAGTATTCAACAATTATACACTGAGTACCTTCTAAATACCAAGTATTTTACTAATTCATCATACAGATGATGAATATTACATAATCCCTAAGCTGAGAAACTTAAACTCTCATGGCCTTGACTGAATACATTCTGCTTTCCCACCTTTCTCTCTCAAATAGTTTAAGAAAGGGCTTTATTAAAAGGAATAGTAAACATTTTAAACCTCTCCTAAAATCCTGCCTGATATATCCTAACTCTCTACTCAACATCACCTGAATATTTAATAAGCATCTCAAATTCACATGTCCAAAACGGAATCCCTGATTTTCCTTCTAAATTTACTTCTCCCACAGCTTAGTAAATGGAAACTACATTATCTCAATTATTTGAGCCAAAAACTTTGAAATCATGTAAGACAGAATCATGCCCGTTCTACCTTCAAAATACATTCAGATTCTAATAACCATTCTTCACCACCTATGCCAGCAGTCCCCAATCTTTTTGGCACCAGGAACCAGTTTCATGGAAGACAATTTTTTCATGGACGGGGACAGGGGTGGGGGTGAGGGTGGAAATTGTTTTGGGGTGAAACTGTTCCACCTCCATCATTAGGCATTAGATTCTCCTAAGGATTGTACAGCCTAGATCCCTTGCATGTGCAGTTTACAATAGGGTTTGTGCTCCTATGAGAATCTAATGCCACTGCTGATCTGACAGGAGGCGGAATTCAGGCAGTAATGTTCACTTGTCCGCCACTCACCTCCAGGTACCTGTCTGTGGCTAGGGGACCCCTGACCTACACCACTAATGCCCTGTCCAAGCCATCAGCATTTTCACCTGGGGTACTGCAACAACTCCCAAATTGGTCTCCCTGCTTTTCCTTCTGCTCTCCTACATTCTGTTTTCCACCAAGCAGCAAATGATCCCTATCTCATCAATTCTTTGCTCAGCATGACCCAATAATGTCTTAGCTCATTTAGAATAAAAGTCCAGTTCTTAACGTGGCCTATAATGCTATACAGGATCTGCCTGCCTGCCTCCTCACTTCTCTAAGCATTCTTCCTACCGCTCTTTCTGTTCTGCTCCAGCCACACTGATCCTGCTGCTTCTTGAACACCAAGCACACCAATGCCTCTAAGCCTGTGGACCTACTTGTTTTCTCTTGCCAAGACATCCTTTCCTTACATATCTACAATGCTCCCTCTCTCGCTTCCTGAAGGTCTCTGGTCAAATGTCCCTTCTCAATAAGATGACCACCCTATATAAAAATAGCAAACCACCCCTTCTCATCCCTTTAGCATTCCCTTCCCCTTTCCTTTAGTTTTTCTCCATAGCATATTTACCTCCATCTGTCATATATTTACTTAAATATTTGCTTATTGTCTGTTCTGCCTCTATAATGTAATGTAATGTAAGCTCCATGCAGGCAAAGTCTTCTGTTCTGTTCACTGCCAAATTAGAACTATGCCTGTGTCCCAGCAAGCACTCAATACATTTCTAATGAAATGAATTAAAAACGGAAAGAAAGAGTCCAAGACACTCACATAAATCATGAGTAGTTCTGTAAGCAATGGAAAGCTAAATCTACAAATCATAAATATTCAAAGCATTCATGTTATGGAGAAAACAACTGTTCAAGGTTTGCTTTCTCAGTAATAACTATTCGCACATATGAAAAGTTACTTTTCTATGACACAGGCCAACTTCCTAATCTACGGAGGTGTCACTGATGTGTAAAAGAAAACACACTGTTCATCACCCAGTTCACTGCACTGCTCAAGCCAAATCTGAGAAATTACTGCAGATTTTCCTCTTCCTAATCTCAAATCCATCACAGGTCCCATTGACTCTCTCCTCAAACATCTTGACTGGTGCCCCAGAAGGCTAAGCCAGCAGTACCTTTTGACTAGCCTCCAGTATTAGCCTTTTTACTGCTTCTATTTTTACCTTTCTACAACGCATTCCCCATACAAGAGCCAGTGACCTTTTTAAAATGTAAATCAGATTGTGTCACCCCTCAAGAAGTCCAATGGTTTCCCAACGCACTTGAATAAAGGCCAAAGTCCTTACTCTGCTGTACAAGGCTCCTGTCTACTTCTCCAACAGCCTCATGTACCAACAAGTGCCTCACGCTGTCCTCGCTCTGCTCCATTCCAAGCAAATGATGCCTTTCTTGGTCATCAAACATCCCGTTTGTTTTTACACTCATCCCTGTACCTGTATCTTACATTCAAATGATTGTTTCTTTCGCCATTCAGAACTTCTCTTAAATGCCACCTTCTCAGAGAGGGCTCCCTCGACTACTTAATTCAACATAGTCCCCCAGTTGTTATCTGTTAGATCTCCCTCTGTTAAAGATCTGTATAGCTCCTGCCGGGCGCGGTGGCTCACGCCTGTAATCCCAGCACTTTGGGAGGCTAAGGCGGGCGGATCACAAGGTCAGGAGATCGAGACCACGGTGAAACCCCATCTCTACTAAAAATACAAAAAAAGTTAGCCGGGCGCAGTGGCGGGCGCCTGTAGTCCCAGCTACTCAGGAGTCTGAGGCAGCAGAATGGCATGATCCCAGGAGGTGGAGCTTGCAGTGAGCCGAGATGGCACCACTGCACTCCAGCCTGGGGGACAGAGCGAGATTCCGTCTCAAAAAAAAAAAAAAAAAAGATCTGTATAGTTCCTTTTATTATCCAGTGTTCTCTTGCTTTTTGTTTTTCTGTTTGACTTTTCACAACAAGAATTTAAGTTTCAGGCCTGGCGTGCTGGCTCACACCTGCAATCCCAGCATTTTGGGAGGCTGAGGCGGAAGAATCGCTTGAGGCCAGGAGTTTAAGACCAACTTGGGCAACACGGAGAGACCTAATCTCTACAAAAACTATAAAAACTTAGCCAGGGATTACATGGTGCACGCATGTAATCCCAGCTGAGGCAGGAGATCACTTGAGCCCAAGAGTTCAAGGTTACAGTGAGCTATGATTGTACCATAGCACTCTAACCTAGGAAACACAGCAAGACCCTGACCACCCCCAACCAAAAAATAAAAGAATGTTCTTGTCTTGTTCACCTAAAAAGGAGCCTACTATATAGTACATGCTCAATAAATTTATTGAATAGTTAATTAATCCAGAGTCTCTATTTGCATTGTAATTTACTATCTTTATATTATAAAACCATCTTAAAATTAAACAATAGACACCTAAAAAGAATGGTCAAAAGAGACAAATTTTATGGTCATGTGATCATTCAAAGTCAGGTATGGTCGATAGTAAAGAAGGATCTAAAATAGTAGAAAATTTAAAAGTCATAAGTCTATGACTTTAAAAGATTATAAAAATTTTCCACACTATTCAAGTAAAATCAATTGAAACATCAGCTTCAAGAGGTATAAGGGATAGTGATAAGATGGTAGAAAAAAACTGAAAAATGATTTGGAGAAGGAAAAGGAAGAGGAAGAAGAGGAAGATACAGCTACAAATAACAGAGGTAAGCTAAGACTGAAAATTTTGCCATAGATAATCTCCAACATGAATAATCCACACTGGGTAATAGAATATTGACTATAATTACATTCATCCTACTGACCTTGTTCTAAATTATTATGGATTATTACTACGCAAGTTATTTTGTTCCACACCAGAGGTGGCTGTATTTCGCTATCAGATGACATGACCTCTAATTCAATAATGTCTGTAATGCACTGGTATCCTCAGATAAAAGCTGTCTATAATGTCTGAACAAAGGTGAATTAGTTATCCAATTCACACACACAATTAACTCTCTTAATACCTGAGAGACCATACAGCCCCTTCTGAATTTCCTATTAAATACTGCATATGGAGGTCTTCCCTCCATCTGTAGTTATCTTGTGCTGTACTTCACAATAAACAATATTGTTTACTACCCCCATCAAAAATCTTGCATTCGTTAATCATACGAGACCTCATTCCAGAAAGCAATGACTTCTTTTCCTAAAAAATTGTATTAAATACAAATGTTATGCCTATTAGTAAAGTACGATAGTTATATAAAAATAATGGCTTCACGAAATATGGGAAACAATTAAAATTTTTTTACTATTTTACGAACACCTCTTAAAAGTCAAGTGGCAATATGTATTAAGTGAATTTATATTTATGTGTGTTTTCACTCATCCTAAATAAAAAACTATTTATTTAAATTCAGGTATTAAAGGACAAAAAAAAAAATCAAAACATAATATTTTTTGCCACCTGTTCCCTCTACAAAGAGCTGAAATTTCATAAATAGTTTGAAGGCAGAGAACTATGCCTCTGCTTTGTACCCATATGTGATGCCAATGGCTGTATTCATAAAAACTCAGATCAGAATAACTAGGTAACGTCAAATGTTAAGCAAACACCCTTGACTTCTAAAAGAAGGAGGTAATTAATTAATTCTTCAGGGGATGCTTTTCATTTTAGTCATCTAACATAATGTATCCTTTCAGCAGGGAACAAGCGAACAAAATATCACTAAAATAAAATCTAGCTCTCTTACCACACATTCACATTAAAGTTCTCATTATATTAGGTAAATTTCATGAGAAAGTAGTGAAGTAAATCTACAAATGGTACCATAGTTCACATGAAATCTGCTGTTCACCTGGGTTTTCATTTTCCCTCACAACTCAAAGTAGGGAGGTAGAGCAGAGGAATAGGAAATGGTTTCTTAAACATGTTTCATATATTCTATCTGCTCATGAAATGACAGAGAGAAACTGGAAGCTAAGTAGGTGACATTCTTCACTGCATAAACAATCCAAACTACAAACCAACCTTCCGCATGCTGCAGCACAAGAAATACTGACTCCTCAGAGATGATGTACTTATGCAGACACACCATGTTGGGCACACAGCGGGGGATGATGGTCTTTCTGTTCCTGCTGTATTCACTGCTTTTCCTTAGACCCTGACAGAGAACAAAAAGGTCAGTTGTATCCTCAGTTGCCTTTGGAGCCTGCTGTGCTCTGTGTTTATCAACCAAACTAATCTATCCGAGTTACTCTGGGCTTCAGAGAAACCACTCATCTGCTGCTCTATGCCCCCCAGTCCCTGGAGGCTCTGCTGATGGCATCTGGCGTGAATCCAGAGAAGGAAGATGCCACAAAGCTGCCATTAAAATCAATTACGTGGGTCAGTGTTTTTATTAGAGATGCTCTCAAACTAAGTCATCAGGATGACACACAGTTATTTCTCTGTGACCTTTTCTTAAGCTTTATTTTACTTATCTATATCTTTAAAGCAGTAGACATTGTAAGACCAATGCAAACTCCTGAGACATAAAAGGTATTCTTAGATTAAGCAGGCAATTTTAAAATCCCATTCCCTAGAAGTGCAAACAATGTTAAGTCTTCTTACAAGGAATAAGGTTTGTCTATTTTCTGGTGTCATACTCTGTTTTTAAAAACTGGGGAAATGTCAATAATAATGTATATTCACACACTCACACACACACACACGTGTTTCAGTATGTGTCAATGTGACCTACTGCCATGCCTTATCAGCAAAAGAAAAAGCATCAGAAAAAGAAATATAAAATTAATAAATTCATCTTCTGAATGCTGTGAAAATGCTTAAATTAGGATATTTTCAGAATATGTACTAGCACAGTCCATTCCAAACACAATTTCAAAATTTCAAAATTGAGGGTTCTTTCTCTCCTGATTTAGTTATAAATTACATTATGTATAGAATCAAAATTGAATTTAGATCAAAAAGAGGACCAGGAATGTATATAATGCTTTCCCAAAATACCTGTAACAAGACTTTAAGGCAAAATTTTAGCTCTTAAGAACTGTAGTGATAATCGAAGGTGAGACTGTGTGTAGTCTTCACGATTATAAAAAATGTTCTTGAGATGTATTTACACACTACACATTCAAACAACACGAAATGGTTCTTCAATTTATCCAAATTATTTCCTCCATACTCTGTATCAAAAAAAAAATTGTTAAATGCATGCTATCAACCATGATGGAAGGATAGAAAAAAAAAAAAAGGTAAATAAGTATCACCAGAAACAACATTAAAGGACATTCAAAACCTAGGGGGGAAATATTAACTACTTAGTTAGCATTAACTAAATACTAACTAAAATATTTTCTTTCAGAAGCATAATTTGAAATTAAAATTTTAAATTCATTAAACATACAAATTTTACTTACTCTTTTTTTATTTGAAACAGAGTCTCACTCTTGTTGCCCAGGCTGGAGTGCAATGGTGCAATCTTGGTTCACTGCAATCTCTGCCTCCTGGGTTCAAGCGATTCTCCCGCCTAAGCCTCCCGAGTAGCTGGGATTATAGGCGCCCACCATTACACCCGGCTAATTTTTGTATTTTTAGTACAGACGGGATTTCACCATGTTAGCCAGGATGGTCTCGAACTCCTGACCTTAGGTGATCTGCCTACCTCAGCCTCCCAAAGTGCTGGGATTATAGGCACCACACCTGGCTACAAATTTTACTTACTTTTAAAATGAAAGTCTGTTCTGTCCTTGTGTCCATTACAAGTAAAACCTACATAAAAGACATGAGTAATAATTTATTAACAATACAATGAAACATTAACTCTTAGCTTTAAACTAAACTTTAAGAGTGGGGCAGGGCTGAAATTTAATCCCCTCCCCAAAATTGTTCATTTCTGAATAATTTTTTTAAGTTGGCAAATTATAGAATCAAAATAACCTTATCCAAAATAGGTTTTATTATGGTTTCCTTTTCTAAAAATGACATATTTTAGAAACATTCCTGTTTCCTAAAGTATTTTAAAATGTATTTCTTAGAAGTAAAAGACATATTATTTTAAACAGAGTTTTCCCTCTTGGAACATATATGATCAACAGGAAGTGGTTCAAAAAAATTGTTCAAGTCTCAATTTTTTTCCTAAAATCTCCTATGTAGCAACTTGCTATAATGTGATCTCAATAACTCAGGCTCTAGCCTAAGGCATCCTTTTGGTACCACTTTACCCTGGATTCACCTTAACACCTCTTTCCACCAAATCCTATCAGCTCTGTCTTCAAAATGTATCCTGAATCTGAACTCACCTTACCATTTCCACAGTTAATACTCTGATTCAAGCAAAGACCAACTCTTACCTAACTTGTAACTACAGTGTCCCAACTGACCTCCCGGCTACCATCTGTGCTGCCCTGTGGTCTATCCTCAAAGCAGCAGCCAGGGTTTTCTTTTTAAAACATAAGTTAAAACAAGGCACTCTTCTTATCTCACTGAGAGAAAAAGCTTAAGCCCATAAAATGACCTCAAGACCCTTCATAACCTCTCACACATTGCCCCCTTAAACTACTCATTCCCACCCCTCATCTTGATGGATAAAATAAATTAACAGAAGTATGAAATCATCCCACCCTATGAAGGCTTTATTATTTTGGAAATACTACAATAGCAAAGATTGGTAAACTTTTTCTTTAAAGGGCCAGACTAAATATTTGGGGCTCTGCAGGCCTATGCAGTCTCTGTTACAGCTTTTCAACTTTGTCATTATACAACAAAAGCAGCCGCAGACTGAAATTGGCCATGGGAGGAGGATTTGTACTACAGAAATCAGCAAACACTGCAAATGAGCCTCTTCACCCTACCAGAGAGCTGTCAAATATCTACCAGCCCACCACTGGATAAGGAGAGACAGAAATTAAGGATGGAAAAAAAGATGTTAAGCTTGAAAAAAATAAAGAATTTTTAAAAGGTGAGAAGAAACAGAAAGGTGAGATGGGAAACCAGTTTGAGAAGATGGAAAATTCCATTTTAGATAATCAAGTTGAAAAAATAGTGACAACTTCATCTTTGTCTTCTGAGTGTCTGACCTACACTACTTAAATTTCCATTAATTTCAATACAGTATTCTCACAGGTACCTCATATCCTCTTCCCAAGGCCCTGCCTTCACCAAACAAACACACAAACAGCCTGCTTCTCCTCCTATAGTACTAAGTAAGACCATCTTCCATGCATGCTCTGAAACAGTGGTCTAAGTTACTGTGAACTCTCTCCTGTCTCCCACCTTCGGAACAAGTGACTGATCCAGTATTCAACAATTACACACTGATCACCTTCTAAATACCAAGTATTTAGAATCAATTCTAAACCAATCAAATCAATTCTACCTCCTAAGCACTTCTCTTATCCACCCTCTATTCTCTAATCTGCCATATTTTAAGCATTTACTATGTGCTATACTTTACCCACGTGTAATCCATATTAATCCTCCCAACAAGTCAATGATTTATTTTGTCTTATTTTATTTTCATTGAGACTGGGTCTCACTCTGCTACCCACGCTAGAGTGCCGTGGTGTGATTTTAGCTCACTGCAGCCTCAACCTCCCAGGTTCAAACGATCCTCCCACTTCAGTCTCCCAAGTAGCTGGTTCTACAGGCATGTGCCACAATGCCTGGATGAATCTTTTTTTTTTTTTTTTTTTCCGTAAGACAGGGGTCTCACTGTATTGCCTAGGCTTGTGTTGAACTCCTGGGCTCAAGTGATCCACCTGCCTTGGCCTCTCAAAGTGCTGAGATTACAGGGATAAGCCACCAGGTCTGGCCCAGTGAAATAATTTTACCATCCTATTCTACATTAAAAGACATTACAGACATGTCTTCTTGTGGACATAGACATTCTTATTATGTAGAAGCTATAAAGGTCGGTAACAGTATCTAACAAATGTGAGGATTTCAGTAAGATAATCTTATAAAAGTACAGCCAGTTGCTATTACTGCTATCACTATTATTGCTTCTTTTTCCCTGAAATGTTCCCCCAGCCACTTATCAAACAAGTATGCATCTTTCCATACGCAGCACAAATGTCACTCTATCTCTCAGTAACACTGACTACTGTCTTCCTTTCTTCTGCTGTTTTACACAGCACCAACATCTATTATAGCATCTCTAACCCTTCAATTTGGGGGTCTGTCTCCCAATGAGACTTCAAGCTCTTTATGGGCATGCGGTAAGGCAGGATAATGGGCCCCAAAGATGTTCATACCCTAAGAATCCCCAGCATTTGTGAACGTGCTACGTTACTGGCAAAAAGGCCTTTGCAGATATAATTAAGGTAGGGACCTTAAAACAGGGATATTACACTGGATTATCTGGGTAGGTTCCAAAATATCATATGAATCCATTTCAAAAACAGAGAACTATCTTCTACAAAAAGAAATGCAAAGCACAGAAATGATATGGCTGAAAGGAAAATCATATTCAAAACATGAAAGGGATGCATGGCTGCTGGCTCTCAGGTGCAAAGGCCCACATGTAAGAACTGAAGAGAGGCTTCTAGGATCTCATAGCAAGCCTAAGAAGGAACCCAGGCAACTTCTAGGAGTACAGAGCAGTCCTTGGCTGACAGCCAGCAAAGAAACAGAGTTCAGTCCTACAACTCTACGGAAAGAAGAGAATTCAGTCAACAACCTGAATGAGCTTGGAAGCAGATTCCTCTCCTGAGCCTCCAGTAAGGAATATAGCCTTGCCAGCACGTTGATTTCAAACCAGCAACTGTGTTAGACTTCTGACCTATAGAACTTTAATAATTTAGTTGTTATACACTGCCAACTTTGTGGTAATTTGTTATGACAGCAATAGAAAACCAATAGCATAAAAATTATTCTATCACAGAATACACTGTTCTCACACAGTGAATGTTTAATAAACATATGGTTAGTGAATTCAAGTCTAAAAGTTTGTAAGGTAGATGATGACATGGGAATGGAGCTTAGAAAATAAGTCGGTACTAATGATTTATATTTGAGCATTCTCCATAAAGATAAAAACTAAAGACACAAGAATGATCCCACTGGAACACTTCCTTTATTTCAGGCACTGTGCTGGGCTTTAAGGAATTAAATCATGTAACTCTCTCAACAATCCAAAGAGGTAGGTATCTTTTATTAATCAAGTTTACAGATAAGGAAATAAACATAAAACAGTACCTCTCTGGAGTGCACTCTGAAACACTGGAACTTCTTTAACCTCAGGACTTTGTCCATACTCACAAAGATAATAAGTGGTAGAGGGTAGTCTGGCTCCAGGTTTCTTTCTCTTTAACTGCTAAGCTATACTATTTATTTCTGAATTTTGAAAATATACATAGTTGAAATATTGTGAGTAAATATGACAAAAACCAAAAGTGTAGTGAGAAAAGTACAAAGAGAAAACACGGTGGTTCAGATGACAGAGAAAGAGGATGCTTAAGATGAGTGTAATCTATGCCAAACAACAGGGAGAAGCCACGAAGAATGAGGACTGAGAAACCATCACTGGTTAGGGCAGTTAGGAAGTCATATGTAACTTTCAATACAGCATTGTACAGTGAACTGCTGAGGATAAAAGCCAGATTGCACGGAGTTAATAATGAGTGATAAGAAAATAGAGGTGACATATATAAGCCTTTCAATAGTAAAATATGTCAGAAGAAGGAAAAACACTAAAACGAAATAGTGGGATCATCAGTTGAAACAAAGGGTTTGACTTTTATTATTTTTCAGATGGGATAGACTTATTCTTTCCATAGCTGCCCTTTGAGTTATAATCAACACAAATCTTGAGCCTCCAAAATATGAAAAGACATCTGTGAACTTTAAGAGTTAAATCAACATACCAAGAATGTAAAAGGAGGCACCATGGCCCTCTTTCTGCAAAGGAGAGCTCAATAAACATATTTTGAACATCTGTTGAATCTGTGAAGACATTTAGTGTTTCTTCAGTCTCATTTGTTTTTATATGAGGTGTGACTTTTTTTTTTTTGAGACGGAGTCTTGCTCTGTTGCCCAGACTGAAGTGCAGTGGGACGATCTTGGCTCACTGCAAGCTCCGCCTCCCGGATTCATGCCATTCTCCTGCCTCAGCTTCCCGAGTAGCTCGGACTACAGGTGCCCGCCACCACACCTGGCTAATTTTTTGTATTTTTAGTAGAGACGGGGTTTCACCGTGTTAGCCAGGATGGTCTCGATCTCCTGACCTTGTGAACCGCCCGCCTTGGCCTCCCAAAGTGCTGGGATTACAGGCGTGAGCCATCGCGCCCAGCCTATATAAGGTGCGACTGTGAAGTCACTTACCAGAAAGCCAATTCTATTTGAACAAGACACATCTATATGAAGTAGAATACATCTCACCAGGTAAAAGGCATGGAAGCTGTACAATCAAAGGAAAGAACTTCTCCCTATAAAAAGTCTCTCAATTGACTCAACAAAATATACCTGCATAAATCAGGAGTGATACCTCTTCACTCATCTCATTTAGCCATGAAGCATGAAGCAGATCAGATAAAAAGGTCAAACTGGCTGGGCGCAGTGGCTCATGCCCGTAATCCCAGCACTTTGGGAGGCCAAGGTGGATGGATCACCTGAGGTCAGGAGTTCAAGACCAGCCATGGCCAACATGGTGAAACCTCGTCTCTACTAAAAATACAAAAATTAGCCGGGCATGGTGGTGGGCACCTGTAATCCCAGCTCCTCGGGAGGGTGAGGCATGAGAATCGCTTGAATCAGGAGGCAGAGGCTGCAGT